TTCATTGATTGTTCAATTGTTTTTGAAGGCTTTTTCGGTTTTCGCTTTTCCGGGACAAGAACGGCCCAAGACGGCCCAAGAGGCTGCAAAGATCGTCCCAACACAGCCCCAGAGGCCCCCCAAAAGGCTCGAAAACGGCCCAAGAGGGCCCTTAGACGGCCCAAGAGGGCCCGAAAACGACCAAGTGAGCCCCCAGACGGCCCCAAGAGAGCCTCAGGAGCACCCCAAGAGGGCCCCAAGAGGCCCCCAAGACAGCCCGAGGACGGCCGAAGGTCTCCAAGATCCCCAAGACGGCCCGAAAAGGCCCCAAAACGGCCCAAGAAAGCCCCCGAACGGCCCAAAAGGGCCCTCAAGAAGGCCCAAAGAGGCAAAATTGATTGATTCGTTGAATAGGTTTGAAGGTTTTTTGCGGTTTTCGCTGTTTCCGGCGACGAACGGCCCAAGACGGCCCAAGAGAGTTTTACAGGTTTTTTCTTTGTAAAGCAATTATTGCACCTATGTAGACATCGTTTAACAATAATTTACCTGCAAAACGAGCCTCAAATGCTCTTGGGACGTTCAGACTTTGGAAGGCGCTGTGATTTGATATCCATACGTACATACATACACGTGCACATGCATACATACGCAGAATAAATCCACATGTGCACACACATCTCCCCCCGAACGCATTTCGGACTCCCCGGGCTGCTGGGAAGCCCCTTCCCGGGCTGCTCGACCTGCTGTGAAGCTCCCCAGGGGCTGCTCGGACGCTCTTGCAAGGGGGTTCTTCGACCTTCTGGCTTGAGGTGTTCAGACCGCTCTTCGCTTGAGACTCCCTCGCAAAGCTGATTTCGGAGATGCCCTGCCCCATAGTGCTCGGGCCAGTTTCGCCTGAGACATCCTCGCAACGTCAACCTCGGATACGCCTTGCCGCGTAGCAATCAGACACGTAGCACTCCGACACGTTCACAAGGCCTCCAGATTTTTCTCAAATGTTCTGGCGGCGCCCGTCGTTGAGTCCCTCTCAGGTCCTCCTGTCTTTCAACGCTCTCGGAGGCCAGCTCCCAGCGTCTTGCATCCGCGTCAGTTCCGGCCTCCATGCCATGACTTCCGATCCTGAGCGTTCGTGCCTGCCTGTCCTCGGGTTCGCGGGACTCCTCCCATTACACTTTCCTTTCGCCTTCCTCCTTCCCACTGTCGGCTGAGACATCCTCGCAACTCTGACCCCAGAGAAGCCCTGCCCCAAGTTTGTCTGGCCACTTCCGCTTGAGATCTTCTCGCAACTCTGGGTTCCGGGGTTCCCTGAGCGGAGGTGTTCCGGCCACTTTCGCTAGAAACATCCTCGCAACTCTGGATTCCGAGATGCCCTGCCGCAGAGTTGTCCGCCACTTCCACCTGCATCCTCGCAACTTTGGATTCAGGGATGCCCTGAGCTGAGGTGTTCAGGCCATTTTCGTTTGAGACGTCCTCGCAATTCCGGGTTCGGGTATGTCCTCAGCTGAGATGGTCAATTCACTTTCGCTTGAAACATCCTCGCAACGCTGACATCGAAGATGCATTGCCCCGTAGTAGTCTGGCTACATTCGCCTGAGACCCTCGCCATTCCGAGTTGCGACATGCTCTGAGCAGGCGGTCAGGCCATTACCGCCTGAGATACGCATGGGTATGCGCACCCATAATTACATCTAGGTGCGTGCACCAACAAACACCTGCGATTGACATATACATATACATACACATGTTTAGCTGTAACATGTGTACGCGTATACAACAGTATACATGTGTGGTATACACATAGATATATGTGCAGAGCGTGCATGCGCGCGCGTGTAACATGCATGCGCGCATTCACGCACGCACGTACCCCGCTTGCGTGCGAAACTCAGAGGACCAAGGTGCATGGCGCGCAGCGCCAATGCAGCCTTGTATATGCACACATCTACATATATGTATATATGTGCTTATCTGCGTTATATCATCGTGTCACCGAGCCGGGCGAAATAGGGTCACATTTGGGAGTTCCCGCCCAACCCACCAACACCCAAATCAATGCCGATGTCCTCGTTCTCGCCATGGCCGATCTGTCGCCAACGTTGCGAAAATGCCATGGCGGGAACTGGTCGCGGCGCACTTTGCGCGCGAACGAGGGACATGCCTTTCTCGCCGAACGTATTTGTTCAGAACGTTGCGCTTCCTTCGGCGCCGCGCCCACTTTCGTTCGCCAATTCTAGACGCTTCGCGTAACCCTTCCAGCCCATCCAATAAGCGATGCCCGGGCGAGTTGCCCTGATCAGGGACGTGGAGGAGCGTGCAGCGGAATAGCGAGCAAGGGAAGACGTCACGGCCCAAAAGGGAGAGGATGGAGGAGGATGGAGGAGCGACGAGGTGGAGGGAGGGAGGAGGAGGAGGGATAGGAGGAGAAACAGGAGGGCGAGGAGGAGGGGGAGGGGGAGGGTGCAAGCTAGGTGCGCTCGCGTCATACCTGACGTCCTATCCCTTTCTCCCATCCCTTACCATGGCGTAGTTGTCCTGTCTATTCGCACAGTCGGATGTCGAGCAGGGCAATGATTGCGAGAGGGCACGCGGTGCATTGTAGAGCACGGCATGGCATGGCGTATAAGAGCACGGCAGAGCGTAGCATGCCATAGCATGGCGTGGCATTGCGCAGTGAAGCATCGGATCACAAAGCATTGCAGCTCAAAGTATGGCATCGCACAGCGGCGCAGAACACACCACCGCACAGCATGTCATGGCATGGCGCCAGGTTGCATGGAGGGTAAGTGGATCGTCTTCGAAAGGTCTGGGCCGGTCTGGAGTCGTGGCTCCCCGAAAAGTTCCACACAAGGCCAGGCTGATGTAGAGCACCCGCTGGTTCTGCTTTCAACATCGCCTTTGCAGAAACGGGGCTGATACTTCCTGAAAACGACGACGCCCCAAAGTGGGGGGGGCTTCCGCGGCCCAAAACATGAACGAATCGACACCGAATGTGTAATCACTTCCGATGGTTTTTTCCGGGTGTGGGGGGGGGGGGGGGCATTTTTTAGATTTTGGGGCTTAATTTGGAAGTACCGAAAACTCCCGCGCTACAGCGGGAGCACGATTTGGAACAACCAGAGGCGCAGAAATGGGGCCAGCGTTTCAGCGGGAGCACCATTTCGAACCAAAACCCATGCGAAAAACCCATGTCATGGGAATCCTGTGTGTAAAAAACAGTACGCGGAGGAACATGCGGAGGAGGAGGAGGAGGAGGGGGAGAGCAAGCAGAATGGCCAGAGGCCTCTCGGATACCTCTCGGAGTCTTTTCTGATGTCTCTTGAGAGCTTACCTGTGTCCTGCTGGGGCGTTTTTGGTGCTTCTTTGCGTTCCTGGGGGCATCTTGGAGCGTCTTGGGTGTCTCGGGGGAGCTTCTTGAAGCTTCTTGGGGGCCTCTTGGGGGCCTGTTGGGAGCCTGTGGGGGCCTCCTGGGCGCCTCTTGGGGCTCTGTTGAGAGCTTTGGGGGGCATTTGGAAGAGGTTGATCCAAAAATGGGGTTACTCAATCAGCACCCCCCTTCCCCCCACGGGGGCCAACATGGCCTCCAAACCGAATTAACATCAATCATTTTTGATTTTTCGTCAAGGCCATCTTGGACGCCCCAACGACCCTCCACCTCCCCCCAGGGGTGGGAGGTATGGGGGAGTTCCGAAGGGAAGAAGAGTGTGTTGAGGAGGAAACCCGCTAAACCACTTACGCCCTAAAGGGTGGGTGGGATTCGTCAGCAACGGGTACGCGCACGAGCCGACGAAATGCAGCTCTCGTGCATGATCCGTGCAGATTTAGGCTGAAAGTATCGCGGCCGCTTGGGAGCAGCGCGTAATGTTAGATCACCCGGTCATTGAGGCGGGCCGCGCGAACGGGCGAAATGCCCCTCTCGCGCAAGCGCCGCGCAGGTTTCGCCTGGAAGTGGCACGGTTCCGTCGGCGCGGCGCACGCCTTGTCTTCGCCAAAAGGATTTGGAAGCTGACCGCTCCCAGGAGCGTTGAGCCGTGCTCTCGCTGAAGCGCCGCGCCAGGTTGTTTTTTTGGAAGTTTCGCTCCCGCCTGTGCGCGGCCTGTGTCTTCCCACGCGCCAAGCCATCGGAAGTGGGACCGCCTGCGAACGTCTTCCGGTCTCTAGGTCGAAACACGCGTCAATTCCAAGACCCACTTGCGATAGTATCGGTTCCTAGGCGACGGGGGGTTCAGCGGGAGTGGGCGGGACGGGGGAGAGGTCTGGGGAGTAGTTGAGATATCCGGGAGAGGGCCGGGGACGGGTGCGAGGAGAGGCGGGTCCTACTCCCGTCCTCCGCTTCACCGGGTTTTCGCTTTTGAGGGGCATGGCATGCGGCATCGCGCTGGTTTCCTTGTGATGCGCTGTTGCTGTGACAGTCCACCCCCTCCCCCGAGAACTCCTCCTGAAAAAAAGGAGGGGCGAGACCACCACCGTGGGGGGCACCTCCAGCGAGGGAGTCCACGACGCCTCCCCGCGCTGGGGATAGGGGATGTTTCGAGCGAGGGGGACCACACCGCCAGAGCTCCTCGCGCTGGTGGTGGTGGTGGTGGTGGTGGTGGTGGTGGTGGTGGTGGTGGTGGTGGTGGTGGTGGTGGTGGTGGTGGTGGTGGTGGCGTCGCCGCTCCCTGTTTCTATCCCCGCCGTAAATAAAACTGATTTTGGGCAGGTGGGAATTCTGGGTCTCCCACATGGGGCGCGAGAAGAGCCGGAGGCGGCGTGAGAGCACGACGGTGACTTGTCTGTGTGTTGAGACAGGGGGAAAGAGAGAGATAGATACACATCTGTATTCACATTTACGTGAAAATGCCGAGGAAGAGAAACAGAGAGAGAGAGAGAAAGAGAGAGAGAGAGAGAGCGCGCCACCGACCGCCGAAGCTCACTACAAAACGCCTGGCGTCACAGCGGGAAGCGGAAGATTCCCAGGCAAGCCAGAGCGATGCGCGAGCGATCTTGTCAGAGGCGATTTCGCTTGATCGGGAAGCCGGGAGGCGCAATGGGACAAGTGCGAGATCGCCTTGCTCCGGGGCTGGAAACGCGCGGGCGAGATCGAGGACCCAGGCGTGCGGCTCTGCTTCCTGCTGAAGCTGTGCGAGGTCTCGTATTACCTGCGGAAGCACAAGCAGGCCATGGCTGTGCTCAAGGACATAGACGAGCCGGAGGCACCGGATGAGTTCCAGGCCTATCTGCTACTGGCTTGCCGTGTGCATGCCTGCAATAACGACCTGGAGGGTGCGATGAGATTCTTCTCGAGGGCCATTGAGAGGGAAACTTTTCAGAGCTCGTTGAAGGTGCTCGCGCTGACGATGTTCGATCTGCAAAAGGCGGGAGCTTACGAGCCGGCGAAGCATGCAGTGGAGAGCATGGCCGGCTCTTGCGACAAAGACCAGCTGCGGATATTCGACGACGCCCTCGAGCAGAGGGAGCGCCCCGGTGCAAAAATAGACCGGCTGTTCATGTACGCCCTCATGGGCGCCAAAGTTTTCGCGATTCTCTGCGTGGTCTTCCTGCTGTACCAGTGGGAACAGAGCAGCCTGGAAAGGTGGGCGAAGGCAAAGGCAAGCCAAGAGCTGTAGCCCACTGCCCGCCGTGTCCTCTTCCCCCTTCCCCACCTGCTCTCCCCTCACTTCCCCCTTCCATCCCTCCTTGCCTTTCCCTGCACTCTTTTCCTCCATTTCCCCTCCATCCCTCGCTCTCCTCCAGTTCATTCCCCTCGTCCCTCCCCCTCGCCTCCTCCTTCCCTCCTTGTTGTAGTTCCACCCTCGTCAGCGTGAGGGGGCCGAACGGTCATTCACTGTCCGCGGGTGTGTGGCTGAAGTGCGCGTCGGCGGTGCGGATTATTGTTGTTGGGTTTCAGTTCGAAAGAAAATATTTCGTGAACCCCCTGGCGCGGTAACCATTCTATTATTCAATTAATCAATTATTTCTCCTGGTGCTTGCACCTTGTTCTTTTACAAGGGAAAACGAGGGGGTCACCAAACTAGGCACGTGGCCCCCACTTTATAACAACAACGGCTCCCGCTTGATACCGCCTCACAGTTCATTCCCAAATCGTGTTCTCGCGCGGGATTTCCTCACAGGCTATTCCGAAATCGCATTGTCGCGTGGGAATTCTTCACAGTTTATTCAGACGCCGCGCCATCGACACTCAGGAATAACGCTCTCGCTGTGGATTTCCTCCAGGTTTATTTGGGAAATCAAGCGATCCCTCGATACGCCCTCGCGATTCATGCAGGACGCACGCTTCTCCCCCTTGCCTTGGGGGTTGCACGAAATACACGTTGCAGGTAAGAATCACATAACCCCAATCAGGATACGATCGAGGACGAAGCAGGCATGATGCTCCGGCTGTGGGGCCGGTCCGGCGGCCCTGGCGGCCCCGGCGGCCCCCGCGGCCCCGGCTTCCCTGGTGGCCCCGGCGGCCCCGGCGACCCCGGCGGCCCCAGCGACCCCGGCGGCCCCGGCGGCCCCGGCGGCCCCGGCGGCCCCGGCGGCCCCAGCGGCCCCAGCAACCCCGGCTCTGCGATGCGGGCCGATCTCTGACCTGTCTGGTAGGCGCTGTTGATCTGCTTCTCCAGCCCGTCGAGGCTGATCTTCAATTGGTCTCCATGAGCAATGATACCCTTCTTCGATGTGGGCATTGGCAACCATAATCGATGCTTCATGGCCTCCTCCGGCTGAGCTGGTCGAGGCAGTGGTGGCGTGAGCTGGTCCTTCGACTTCCTGTCAGGAGCATGTGCTGACCTGTCCCGTCTCGGGCGTGGTCCTCCTCCTGCTGCGTCTTCTTGCCACCATTGCCCTTGGTGAGTGGTGAGTCCAGCTCGTGGACCACTGTGGCTTCCTTGTGCGAGACTGGTATATCCACGGCGGCGACGAGTCAACTTCTTCTGGGACGCTGTCTCTGCTGTTGTTTGGCTCTGGCACACAGAATCTGCACTTCTTACGGGAATATAGATTCGTCCTCTGGCACTTGCTGCATGACCAAAATTTTGCCTGAGGACGACTGGCTGGCTGACTGGAGCTGGACTGCGCCATCGAGCTGCGGTGTTGGTCGGGCAACTCTCTGGCTGCTGCAATGCGGAGGAACGCTCTGGCGATCCCCCTCTGTGCTCTCAGGCGGCGGTGCCACGCTGGCTTGAATGTGCCGCGCGTGGTGGCGAACGTCCCCTGTTGGGGCACGGCCGTCCAGGCGCTGGAATGGCGGGTCGGCGCGTCTAGGGGCAGTCCCGAGAGGCTCGCAGGTTCCTGGAACATGCACCCAAAGCCTCGGGCTGGGACGGCAGCTAGAGGAGACGGGGGGGAGGAGGGAGCGACGGAAGAGGACCAGGACTACGCCATGAAGACATCCCCTCCTTTCCGCCCCCCCTTCCCCCCCCCTGTTGTTGCTGCAGCTGCTCTTCCTTGTCCTCATCCTCCTTCTCATCCTTCGCCTCCTACCCCTCTCCGCTCCCCTTTCTCTGCAGTGTTCCCCTTCTTCCCTGGCTTCACCCTCCTCCTCGAACTTCCATCCTTTCATCCTCCTCCTCCTCCTCCTCCTGCTATTGCTCGTCCTCCTCCTCATCCCCATCATCCTCTCCTCCTACTGGTCCTCCATGTCTTCCTCTCCTTTCCTACCTACCCTCATGATGCTCCAACTCATCCTCCTACTGCTCCGCCTCCTCCTCCTCCTCATTATGCTTCCCCGCCCCGCACTCCTCTCCTCAATCTCGTTGCCTCATCTTCATCCTGCTCTTCCCCCATCTTCTTCCAGTCATGCGCATTCGCCGTCCCTCCTCCCCTCCCCCTCCCCCTCTATATCGCCTTCGTTCAATCGCCATTCACCAGCACACTGTAGCGCTCCTGGTAGGGCGTAAGATAGGCACCAGCCAGTTGCGTGCTAATGTGTGCCAATGGTGTGTCATCGGCTGCTCATTCACCAGTGGTCTGAGACATGTGCGCGCGCGGTCTGGAGAAACAGCGTGAGCAGGGAGGCGCCGGAGAAACAGCATAGCAATCACAAGTGCAAGTGTTCATAAGGACGAGGAGGAGGAGCACATGTGGACGAGGAGGAGGATCAGAGAAAGACAAGGAGGAGTTGGCACGTTCACGCGCCGCTCTTATCATCAGTGCGGGCAGGCAGGAAGGCGAGTGCCACGTATCCAATGCGGGCCACCATCCTCCCCACAAGTGTGGGCCCACTTCGACCGCCTCTCGTGAGCATCGCTTCACCATCTTGCTCGCCGGCCTCTTCCTCCTCCCCTTCCTCCTCATCGTTATCATCATCAGCATCACCATTATCATTGTCATCCTCTCACTCCTTATACAGGTGGTTGAAGAAGGAGAGGAGGATGATGGAGAAGGGGTGGCTGCAGGAGGAAGTGCGGATGAGGTCGAACATGGAAAATGAGAAGGAGGTGGAGGAGAAGTAAGAAGAGCGTTCGGCGTCGGTTGCCGCACCCTTTCTCAGGCAACCCTTCCCCTGCCCGTTTTGCACCGCGTCGCGGCCTCTGCTTCCTCTTCTTGCTCGTCCTTCGTCCCATCATCCCCCTCTTCCAAGAGAGGGAGAAGGACGAGGAAGCAAAAGAAGATAACTTTTCTCATCCCCCCTCCTCCTGCTCCTCCATCTCTCTCGCCTTCGCTTCGCCCGAAGACCTCTTCTGCTCCTCCCCCAGGGTGTGGCACCCACAGAGGCGTTTCTGCAGAATGTGCTCGGCATTAAATTAGCGAGACGCGGGTTCATCCTAGGGAGAGTCGCCCAACGTCGTATTTTACTGTTGCGGCCCTACGCATGGTTCATTCTACAGGCGTTGTGCGATTTCACCTTGTTGAAAAAAAACGTGTGCAGGCATCGCTTGCGCGCCGCTGCATTAGCGCAGGCGCCGCGGGCATTGGCGTTCATCAGCGCAGGCACCGCGCATGGCGCGGCGCAGGCACCGCGGGCGCGTCCAACAATGGGGTACAGGCATCGCCTGTGCATCTTGACGAGATCGCAGACACCGCAGTCATGGTTCTTTGTAACCGCAGGCATGCCACCCCGAGAGGGGTCATACAAGTGGCGTAGGGAGGCGGGCGAAGGCGGTCGGTGGGGAGGGTGCGGGGGGACGCATTTCCACCACTGTATCCAACATAGCGCCCCAAACGGCGCTGCATCGCCCGTTGCGGGAAGGGGCGCTGATGCGTGGGCAGCGTTGGGGACGGGGAGCCGCCGTGTGGATTTACCGCCACGTGTTGATTTAGCGTGTATTCAGAAATGGTATGATCTGAAACTACACTACCATAGCGCACGCAGGGTAACATGTGTGCATACACCATATGGTTGTAGGCCACGTGGCACAAGACATGGCAACCGACTGCATGTTCACCCTGCATAGATCGAGACTGCATGTTTCATGCTGCATGTTTCTTATAACACTGGTCCACAGCATCAAACGAACGGTTGGACATCGATTGCGGCGTGCCCACACATATAAGTGTACACGCCATGTCTCATTTCCGCCTTCTCCTCCTCCTGGGCGGGGGGGGCAGGACCTGTGGAATGCGACGATACGTCCACTGTCGCCAGGAGCTGCGTGCGTGCCCATACCTGGCCACGGCGGGCGAGGGGCAGGCGCAAACGTAAATCCGCGCTCGTGCGGTGAAGCGGAGGAAAGGTAGGAGGAGGGAGAAAGGAGGGGCAGGTGGCGGTTGTGGATCCAACCGTGGTTCTGCAGCATCGCGCTGCTCATCCCTGACTCGATAGCAGGATAGCGCTCTAGGCACTCAACAGCCCGATGCCGTTTGTCTGTAGGCCGTATAGGCCACGAGGGACAGAGAGAGAGAGACCAACCAAAACAAAAAGGGAGAGAGACACAAATCTATACATAGAGAGAGATTGAAACGAGAGAGAGAGAGAGCGAGATAGATAAAGAGAGGCAGACAGGCAGACAGGCAGGCAGACAGATAGCCAGGCAGACAGACAGACAGGCAAACAGACAGACAGGCAGACATATAGACACATATATAATACAGACAAGTACGGAGGAGCATACACATGATTTAAAAGTATAGATATATGTATATATATGTGTGTTCGTATATCTATATGTCACATACTCACAGGTCCCACGATCTCCTCTGGAGGCCGCGCCAAGGCCATTCTATCAGAAGCCGAAGAAGGCGCTACAGCGCAAAACCTATGAGCAACAGAGTTTGTCAACGAGCTGGGCCTCAGAAGTGGTATGGCGTCAATGGTCCCCTACTCAGCAGACATCAGCCGCCCCCTTTCCGATGAGAGTTCCCTCGGAACTACTTCGTTCACGGTTTATTCTAGACGAGCCCGTCGAACATCGTTCAAAAGTTGCGCGTTTGACGTGTGTTCAGTCGATCTTGGTCCATGTCGGATGCCCTTTAGGGGCATCTTGGCGACCTCTCGGGGCCCCCGGGAGCTCCACGAGGGCCTCCCTGGAGTCCCTGGTGCTATCGAGCTGGCATCGGGCGCCAACTTGGGGTCGTCTTTGGGCCCTGTGGCGGCGTCCTGGGCTACTCGAGAGGCCTCTTGACCCCTCTCCATGAGTCCTGGGAGCCGTCTCGGACTGCCTTGGGCCCGCTGGGACAATCCCGGGGCCCCTAAACACTAAACCCTAAACACTAAGCGTAGGGGAGGGCGCAACGGTCTTGTCTGGCGCTTCTTAAGGGGGGGGGGGGGGGCTCAAGGGGCGCCCCCCCTCCCCTGCGGAAGACATGTTCCGCGTTTTCCATTGGCCGTTTCCCCGACACGGCCCTGGCACACAGGTCGAAGCCGCATGGAGGACGCCGACGGCGCATCGCTGGCCGTTCCTTGAAAGTTGGCACAGAAGTTGAAATTCTCAACGCTTCGCGTATCCCCACCAACCCCACAAAGAGCAAGCAGCTCAACCTGGAACATCAGCGGCGCTAGGGACGACCGCACCCTCAGCCGCTCGAGCGGTGACAAGGGCCGCCAGCGACCCGTGTGGGAAGACACCAAGGATGGGGATGGCCTTGCCACCAAATCCCCAAGAGGCGACCCAGCGCGAGCGCAGACCTACGAGGCGCCCTGGAAAGACGTAAGGACCATGCAGCCCCCCGCGAAGACCCAAACGACCCCATGGGAGGCATCCCCATGTACATGTGCTCCGTTTCAGATGCAGACGTTGAGAGGAGGGAACCCGTACAGGATGAGATAATACGCCTGCAAGAGACGCTGGGGGGAGCGTTCAACGGAATCTGGGCCGCATGGGTGAAGAGGGCGGCCCTGAGGCAGGAGCTCGGCGGAAGCCAAAAACACGACCCTAAACTGAACACAGTAGAGTCGTGCAACGATTTCCTCCAGGCTTGGAACGACGCAGGGCATGACGCCTACAAGATGGACAGCGACCTAGGACTCAGCGTCCACTGGTCGTCAGTCAAGGACAAGCACATGAAGCTCATGCACCGCGAATCCCGAGCGCACGCTCAACGCGGTCCCGACAGCAGCAGTAGACCCGCCCCATGGACGGCAGAGGGCAGGTCAGCCACTGCGGCGGCCGTGCATGACCGATGGGCAGGTGCCGTCGGCTCAGCCGCCCCCAGCCAGTGGCAGGACTGGCAGGAGTGGAACTCCTGGGGCCACCAGAAAGCCCCATGGACGGACACGGAGTGGAAAGGAAGAGGTAAGCGTTACCCCCCCAGGGGGGACGATCGATACACGGACAAGCGCGCCCGATGGTCAGGCAGGGAGGACTCGTATGCCCAGGGCTAGCAGGACCCGGCCAGCCTGTCAGCGCACCCCCAGCCCTCCTGGCCAGTGGCCTACGCCACCTCCTCCACCTCCCCCGCCCGCTCCCCGTAGGGGGCCGTTTCACCTCGCAGCGCCCGGCCTTGGCCGCAATACCTTGGGGCAACACCCGCTGGGGCGGGGGTCGCCCCACATCTCACCCAAGGCGCTGCATAGCTAGACAGCCCACACTGGAGACGTGGACCTATCCCGAACATCTCATCTCACCCCCTTCTCAGCAGGGGACCAGCCCACTGGGCTGACCGGTCCCTGGACCACCTACTTTGCTGTCCCATGGCGACAGCCACGCTCCCTCTGGTGACAGGGGTCGTCGGCAGAAGCACCCCCCCTGCGCACCACCCACGTTTGCTGTCCAGCCGCGACAGCCACCCACCTTTCGGTGACAGGGGGAAGTCGGCTGAAGCAGCCCCCCCTGCGCGCCGCCCGGCTTGATGTCTCAGGCCCCCTGTTTTGGCAGCTTCAGCTCCGGCGGGGAGCAGCTGCGACACCCCAGGACCCCCCCAAGAGGCGCATCCCGCTGCTGGCCCAGTCCGACTGGGACCTCAGCGGCCAGTTGCTGCGACCCCCACGATGTGAATGGTTTCTTGCGGCGGTCAGCTGCATCCCCCCCTTTCCTCCATTCAGGTGCTCTCGGCGAGTAGCAGTTACCCCTGGGCACACCAGGTGACTGGCCACGACCCCCGGTCTCGGCTGCAGGCTCTGGCCGTGGGGCGTGACGTTGCGTCCCCCGCCTCCCCCCTCTGGCCCGGTGGGTGTCCCCCACCCGTGCCGTCGGGGCTTGCCCGTTGCAGCCTTCGCTGGGCTGTGGCCCTCCCCTCCCTACTCGCCCAGTGGGTCGCGCTGCCCCTGGTCTTCCTTGACCATATCAGCGTCAGTTCCCACGGCGTGGGGAGACATCTGGCGCGGGACCACGCTTGAGCTCATGGGCAGCGCCACACGACAGTCAGGGGTGGCTGGCCACTTCGGCCTCGCAGGACCCCCCCTGGCAGGCAGATCAGGCGTCTCCACCACCAATGTGCAGACCCCCACCACCCGACGGAGGTGCTGCGCGCTCGCGGACCTCTCGCTTCAGGGCCCGGCAGCACAGTTGCGCCTTGGGCGGCCGCTGGCATCTCGGCACTGGGAGATGAGCTTCTGAGGGCCAGGCGCTGAGTGGTTCAGCCTACAACGCCTGTGCAGCCTTTGGTTTTCCCCCGCGCACTGTCTCGGACGCCAGCGGGCCTCTCCGCTTGGGTCTCGGCCACGCGGTGCGCCTTGGGCTGCCGCTGGCCCCCCCCGCTGGGAGGAGGATTTCTGAGGACCGGGCGCTGTGTGGTTCAGCCTGCAACGCCAGCACAGCCTTTGGTCTTCTCCCGCGCACAGGGTACACCGCGCAGCCGGTCGGCTTGTGCAGGTCGGCATGGAGTCTGGCGCCGCCCTGGCGACTCACTCCGGTGCCTCCGCACATTCTCTTCGGCAGCCCGCTTACTTCGGTTCACGTCGCTGCGCCTATGTGCGTTTGCTGGTGAATTTAGTACATTTTGTTCTGTGCATGTGCAACTGCGAGTTTGTCTTGCGTGTGCGAACTTGTCCGCCGACGCTGGCGGCTCTGTTCGCAAATTCGCTTCGTTCCGCCACCCGGACGCCGTTTTCGCTCCTAGACTCCTAGACCGTCGCCTGGGAGCCGCCGACCAAAAGTATCCCCACCAACGCGCCTGGTGCGACAAGGTTCAATTCATCCTTCCTGGTGGTCTCGCCTCTGGGATGCCCGCACGCTGGCCTGGCTCTCCTGGCAGTTCCTGCAGCCTCAGACCTCGGCGCAGCTCAGCGTCCCTCGGCGGTAGTTCTGCAGCCGCCAGTGCGCGCTGGGGTAATTAGGATTGCTCGTAGCCCGAGCGGACTTGTGACGCGGCTGCGACGGAAAAGTATCCCCACCAACTCGTGCAGACACGAGTCCTGGGCGATGTGTCGTCAGAAGGATCGTGGGCGAGCGCTGGCGGAACAAAAAGGGGCGGGGTGACACCAATCAGACCGACGTTGGGGCCAACCCCGGCAATCTTCAACCTTCAGCAGTGGCCGACTTGACGACCTCTCGGAGCCTCTTGGCGGCATACTGGGGTTCCCTTGGGGCCTCGTCGTGGCCTTTGGGGCCCCCCGGGGTTTTCTTTTGGCGTGCGTGTCAGCTGTCGGGGCCCTCTTGGGGCCACCCTGGAGGCCCTCGACCCCGAAGCGAGGGCGTTCCGTCGGCGACGTCTGGGGATTTCAGGAGGGAAAATAACACACTGACGAAATTAATCGTCGATTGCCCAGAAAATATGGGAAGTGGGGGGAAGACAAAACCCCAGAAAATATACGGAAAATATGGGGGAACCTTTTATTTGTGTCTATTTAGTTGTGTGTCCTTGGGCCCCTTTCAGAATTACGGACAAGAGGTCGCCTAGCGTCAGCCACGAGCAATGGAGGGGTAAGGGGAGGGGCGAGGGCTTCTTAGAAGCGCCCCTGCTTCTTAGAAGGCGCGGGCCTCATCTGGAGATGTAGGGCCGGCGCCCTCTGAGAAGCAGCCTCGTTCTAAGAAGCTTTCCCCCCTCACCCATCCCCGTGTGCGCGCCGCCAATATTGGGCCCCATAGGGGCTCCCTTGGGGTGCTCTTGTGGGCCTCTCGGGTCCTCTTGGGCCGCAGAGGCCCCTACCGGACGAATGCAAAGCGAGAGTGCAATAACCATCGAAAAGCAATGCTGCATGCTTCGATACCGGCCTCTCGGGGTCATCCTTGGGCTCCCTGGAGCCTTCGGGCCGTCTTGCGGCAGTGTTGGGACTACTTGGAGGTATGCTGGAGGCCGTCGTGAACCGAGTCGGACCCTCGTGTGTTATATTGGAGACCATGCTGGGCTATCTCGGGCCATCTTTTGGCTGTCATGGCGCCGCCGAATATGTTGTTCGGCGGGCCCGCTGGCAGAACTGAGCCTCGTCGAAGGGGGGCTTGGGAGCTTGTGACCAAGCATTGGCCGTCAGGTGGCACGCCCATGAGCAAATTTATTCAGCACGGCTCACACCGCAGGCGGTAGGGGCTGGACCCAGGCGATGCGCAAACCATCTTCTGAAAATGCGTGGTGTCATCGCTTGGTTGGTCATCCCATTTAGTAGTTTCTCGGGGCCTTCTTTTGGCAGCGGTTTCGGCGCTCTCTTGGGCCGTTTTGGGCTTTGGGCCCTCTTGTGTGGTCTTGGGCCTGGGGGGGGGCCCCTCTCTTCTCAGGAGGGGCAAAAACACACAGACACAATTTATCGTCGATCCCCCAGAAAATATAGGAAAATATGGGAAGTGGGGGGGAAGACAGAGACCCAGAAAATATGGGAAATTATGGGGAATATGTTTATTTGTGCGTATTTTTTTGTGTTTGTCCTGGGGCCCCTTCATCTTCGGCCTCTTGGGGCCCTCCCAGAGGCCGTGCGGGGCCCCTCTCTTCGGCCTCTCCGTGGGGCTCCGTGGGCCCCCTGCTGGCGTCCCCGCGGGGCTGCAGGGGGGCACCTTGGCGCGCTCGTCGGACGCTCTGGGCCCACAGGCAGACAAGACAGCAGAGACGAGACAGGAACAGAGTTACAGAAGACGCGATCAGAGAGAGAGAGAGAGAGAGGGGGGGGGGGAGAGAGAGAGAGAGAGAGAGTTACAGAAGACGCGATAAGAGAGAGAGGGGGGAGAGAGACAGAGAGAGAGAGAGAGAGAAAGAGAGAGGGGAGAGACAAGAGAAGAAGGGAAGGACAGGGAAGGAGAAGGACATGCACATGCGTATGGAGAGAGGGAGAGAACAAAAAAAGGGTCCGAGGGAGAGAGGGGAAGAGGTGGAGGGACAGACAGGGAGATCGAAAGAGAGAGGAGGGGAGGGGAGACAGAGGAAGAGGGAGAGGGAGATCGGGAGATAGGGCGAGAGAGGGAGATGGAGGGAAAAGGAGAGAGAGAGAGAGAGAGAGAGAACAGGATTCGCCAGTCAGCAGCACAACAGAAGTCATGCTGTGGTTTCACAGCCCCAGAGTCCCCGGAGAGGGCGGACCAAACTCGAACAGCTGTCAAGCATGTCCGTTGATCAAGTGAGCCGGCCATGATTCACTCGTTCACTGCTACTGAAAATTTGCTTGTACGCCTGCAGATGCCAACTACGAGATAGCACCAGCTGGCATTGAGCTACACACGACAGCACGCCTCGATATTTCAGTTGATGGCGACGAGACTCGGTTTTGGACTGGTGTGCCATGTAGCGCCAGCGCAGTGTTTCGGTAAGGGTAACTCCGCCTCTACACCGGAAGTTGATGTTGGCATCCTCGTCTGCGATTTCGCTTGAGGGTTTGGATGCTCACTGCTCGTGTGCAGCCATGCTGGCCTAGGATCCGATCCGATTCGATTCGATTCGATTCGCTGGCTGGGGCCGCGGTTCCGATTCGATTCGATGCCGTCCGGAGCGTCCGACTTGCCAGCACTGGCCAGGACCAGCCGGAGCCGGCGATCCGATTTTTTTATCCGATTCGGGACGACTCGTTGGCAATCCGATCCGTCCCCGGTTCGATCCGATCTCTCGATTCGGTCCAGCCCTGGCCTGCCAATGGCAGGCTCAGGGAGCGAAGGGTCTTCTTGGGCTCAGGGAGCGAGTCGTGCGAGGCTTGGGTACAGGCGCACGGCGGCTCGGGCGTGAACGGAAGGGGGGGCGCCAGGGCAAGGAGGGGGGTCGGACGGACGGGGTGTGGGATGGGTGGGAGGGCTGCGTAGCAAGGCGAGCGCGCTCGCGGAGATGGCTCGGGGGGCGCGCCTCGTGGGGGGGTCCCCCTTCCACCCTCTCGCGGTCGTGCTCTGTCGGGGAGAAATTGTCATGCGGACGGCGACGGGGGGGCAATAAGCGTAGGGGGACCGAGAATTGCAGGAAAATGGCCCTCAAAGAATTGGTCAGGGACCCCAAACGGGGCCCGTGGGGTATTGAAGGGGGCCCCATTAAGGCACCCAACGTGTTCCTTTCTCCACCCCGCGCGTATTCCCCCTACGTTACTGGCCACCCGAGATTGGGTCGCAGCATGTTCCAGGGTTCGCCGGCTCTGGTATCGAATACCCGACGTCCTGCCTCAGCGTGTTGCAGGCTAGGATGACAGGATGGGCGGCCTGGTGAGCGACCTCCTGGCGCATGTAGCTTCGATTGCCGCAGAGCACACGGAGCGGCTTGGCGAATTGCAGCAGACGAGATCGACGAATGAGGCGTTGCAAGGAATCGCAAGATACGGTTCGTATTTTGTCGGGGGGAGTGCGTTGGCACAATGATATTGGAAGGGGAGGTAATCCGCAGGCTGATCGCAAGCTACACTCCGTGGCGTTCTGCAACTACTTCGGCGTAGGCTTTTGCCCTTGTCTTTTAGTCCTGCGTCGTATCATGCCTCCGCGTCTGCTTGCATACTTGTTGTTGAATCGCTTCGCTCACTCCGCCAGCCCATAACGCTGCATCTCTGGCAATTGCCCACGTGGTCGTTGGCCCTGCTGCGGTGCGGAGGCGGTGGTGGGTTCCCAGAGGCTGGCGGCGGAGTAGTTCTTGTGTAGTTGTTCTCGGGTGGGTTGCTTTGGGGGTCGTGAGTGGTTCGTGGCCTCAACGCGGGCACTCGCGGAGGGCGGCAGGTGGGGCGGGGCAGCTACACAGTTCGCATGGTGTTCTACCTCCCGTCGGGAAGCCGAAGTGGCGAGAACGGGCCCTCCCTTGGGGCCGTCCTGGGGCCCTGGCGGGCCGTTCTGGAGGCCTCTCGGGCCGTCTTGGGCCTTCGTGGGCCGTCTTCAGGCATTTGTGGAGGCCTCAGGAGCAAGCATTTTGGAGCCCCTCTGGGGCCCTGTTCGAGCGTCGGGAAGCCACAATTGCGAGAACGCCAGAACCGTTCGAAAACGCCGGGGAAATACATGATTTGTGGGCTTTTGAGGCCGCCTTGGGCCTTTTGGGCTGTCTGGAGGCTATTTTGAATTCTCTTGGGCCGATCTTGGGGTCCCGGAGAGTCGGGAAGCTGAAGTGGCGACAACGAGCCCTATCTTGGGGCAGTCCTGGAGCCCTTGTGGGCCGCCTTGGAGGCCACTTGGGCCGCCGTCTTGGGGCCCTATTCGGCCGTCTTCAGGCCCTTGTGGAGGCCTCAGGAACCATCTCGGGGCGATCTCGGGGGCTTCTGGGGCCGTCTTGGAACGTCGGGAAGCCAAAATGGCGAGAATGCCGGGATCGTTCAAAAATGCAGGGAGGATGCGTGACGTTTGCCTCTTGGGGCGCTCTTGGGAGTGCTTTGGGAGGCTTCTGAGGGCCATTTGGAATTGTCTTGGGGCGATATTGGGAGCCTCTGGGACCGTCTGAGAACGCCTGGAGGCCGAAATGGCGAGAACGATCTCTCTCTTGGGGCCGTCCTTGGGCCCTTGTGGGCCGTCTTTGAGGCCTCTTGGGCTGCCGTCTTGGGGCCCTCGTGGCAGTCTTCAGGCCCTTGTGGAGGCCTCAGGAATCGTCGTGGGGTGATCTTGGAGGCCTCTGGGACCTAGGTCGGGAAGCCGAAATAGGGAGAACGCCGGAATCTTTCAAAGACGTAGGGTGAACATATGATGTTTGCCTCTTGGGGCGCTCTTGAAAGTGTTTCGGGAGGCTTCTGAGGCCGTCTTGGAGGCCTCTGGGGTTGTCTGGGGGCTATTTTGAATTGTCTTGGGCCGATCTTGGGGGCCTCTGGGGCCGTCTTGGAGCGCAGGGAAGCCGAAACGGTGAGAACGGGCCATCCCTTGGGGCCGTCCCAGGGCCCTAGTGCGCCGTTTTGGAGGCCTCTTGGGCCGTCTTGGGCCCTCTTGGGCCGTCTTCAGGCCCTTGTGGAGGCATCAGGAGCCGTCTTGGCGCGATCTCGGGGGCCTCTGGGGCCATGTTCGAGCGTCGGGAAACCGGAATGGCGAGAACGCCAAAATCGCTCAAAACCTAAGGGGCATGTACACTGTTGGGAGTGCTCGGGGAGGCTTCTCAGGGCGTCTTGGAGGCCACTTGGGCTGTCTCGGGGCCATCTTATGTGTCTTGGAGCTGTCCTGTTGCGTCCCAGACCACTCTTGGACCTTCTTGGGGGCCTAGGGCCTCTTGGCCCTTCTGGGGGCTTTCTGGGGAGCCGCCCTTCTGGGGGCTTTCTGGGGAGCCCCAAGTGCGCTGCCCAGGAGCAATACTATCTCTAAAGGGACATTGCTGGAGATCGCTCAGGGTATTTTTCGCCCGGCGACTTAGACATTTGTTACACTGTTGCAGGAGATATTAGCATGCTTCTGGCCCGTTGGGCTGGCGAATTACCCGCGATCGCTTTAGGCCCCGGTAATATCCATGGTCATCGGCATCGTCCTTCCCGTTGTTGTATGCCGTCAAGTCGTGCCCCAACGATACTGTGTTTCAGCAGTCAGTGCCTCGAAGCGCCATCAAATCGGACGCTATCGAAGAAGGAGTGTCGACCCCGTCCTCGTCATCCTTCCCCCCCTTTCTTCTGCCCCGCTCGCTCCTCCTCCTCCTCCTTCTCCTCCTCCTTCTCCTCCTCCTCCTACTCCTCCTCCTCCTCCAGTCTTTTTCCTTATAGATAATTCGTCTCTGTCGCACCCCGAGGCCGGTCGAAAGGCCGAGCCGAGCGTTTCGCTTGAGACTTCCTCATGACCTTGATGCTTAACATTGGCAACATTTTCACACATGAAGGGCGGGTGGTTTCCAAAAGGCGCACATTCGTTTTCAAAAATTTGGAAGAGCTTCGCGGATTGAGGGCGAGTGGTTTTCAAAATGTGGTTCTCGCCTCAGCGCCGCGACGATTCGCTGTACACATTCGCAAGACCTTCACTGATTGAGGGCAGGTGGTTTACAAAATGTGGTTCTCGCCCCAGCGCAGCGCACATTCGTTAAACAAACTTGCAAGACCTTCACTGATTGAGGGCGGGTGGTTTTCAAGATGTAGTTCTTGCCTTGGCGCCGCGCTCAGTAGATAAAAACGGCACGAGCTTCACGGATTGAGGGCGGGTGATTTTCAAGATGTGGTTCTCGCCCCAGCGCCGCACACATTCGTTTTGAAACAGTTGCAGAAGATAGATTGAGTGAGGGCGGGAAGTTTCAAGATGTGGCTCTCGCTCGCTTTCGCGCCGCGCACATTCGTTTTTTATTGGAAGAGCTTCATGGATTGAGGGCGGGGGGGGTCAACATGTGGTTCTCGCCTTAGCGCCGCGCAGGTTTTTTCACAAAGAATGCAAGACCTTCACGGATTGAGGGCGGATGTTTTCCACATGCGGCTCTCGCCCCAGCGCCGCCGCCTACATTCGTTTAATTTAGTTGCAGGGGTAGTATCGAGGGCGTGTGGTTTTCAAGATGTGGCTTTCGCTTTAGCCCCGCGCACATTTGTTTGACAAATTGCACGAGCTTCGCGCGTTGAGGGCGGATGGTTTTCAACATGTGGTTCTCGCCTTAGCGCCGCGCACATTCGCTGAAACGAGTTGCAGAAGTCGAGGGCGAGTGGTGTTCAAGATGTGGCTCTCGCTTTAGCGCCGCGCACATTTGTTTGACACATTGCACGAGCTTCACGGTTTGAGGGCGGATGGTTTTCAAGATGTGGTTCTCGCCTCACGCCGCACACATTCGTTTTAAACATGTGCAAGAGTTTCATCGATTCCCTGTGTGCACGTACAACAAATGAATGCTGGAGCGATTCCGGATTGCCTGGGCGCAACAGTTACGTTGATTCGCTGTGTTGAAGTCCCAGGAATGGTTTTTTTCAGGCACGACTCATGATCGCAAAGGCGTAGCAGTCAGGTTAATTTGTGGCGTTGGAGTCCTGACAGCGGTGCTTCGGCATGCTTCAAGATGCTCACACGGTTGTCCCCCAACGGGGCACTCGCCTCGGTGGAAATGGCCCACTGTAGGGGCCTGCGAAGAGGGACCTTAGAAGGAGGGTGTATTTCAAACGTTGATGGATATTGGGTTTACACTGGTCCTCCTCGTCCTATGTATCCTTTTCCTCCTCCTTCTCCTCCTCCTCCTCCTCCTCTTGCTCTTCCTCCCTTCCTCCTCCTCCTCCTCCTCCTCCTCCTCCTCCTCCTCCTCCTCCTCCTCCTCCTCCTCCTCCTCCCCATTCCTCTTCGTTTTGGCTCAAGCATTCGCATGCCTGGTGCGCGGCCCGCCGTCCCCTGGAGAATGGAGGCCGCCGCGCGACGGGCTAGAGGGGCTCCCGCCCCCGCGCTGGCCACGGCCCTCGCGGAGGCTGCGGAACGCGGGGCGGCTGCCGCGCAGGCGCCGAGGCGGACGGTCGCGGCGGTGGCGCGCTCAACGGTGTCGGCGGCACTCTTCGGGCGTTCCGCGCCGCCTGCGCCGCCCGCCGCCCGCGGCCTCGCTGATGACGTGCCTCGTGGACAGGGTGATGGTCCTCCCGATGGCGGAGGTGTGGCGGCCGCCGACGTGTGTGCTGCGAGGCGTCGGCGCCGCCGCCAGCGCCGCGCTGGCTGCCGCCAGGAAGGACAACGACGTGCACGTGGAAGAGGAGGTCCTGGACGTGGAGGCCACCGCGGCGCCTGCCGCCGCTGTGGCGGCGCGCGGTGCGGTGGGTGATGCTGCCGCGGACGGGATGGCCGACCTCGGCGACGACGCCTGGGCCGACGACGCTCGTGGCGTGGCCCCGCGGGTCGCCACCGCGGCGGCCGCTCCCCCGGCGACGCCCTCGGCGCCTCCCTCGGCGGCGGCGCCCTCGGAGGCCCCTGCGGTGCCCTCGGCGGCGCCCTCGGCGCCTCCCGCGGCGGCGGCGCCCTCGGGGGCCCTTTTTCGGAGCGCTCGGAGGCCCATGTGAAGGAGGCCCGCGAGGCCTATGCGGGGCTCGCGGGCCTCGCGCCTCGCCTCTTCCGGGAGGCCGTGGCGCACTCGCCGCCCCCCCGACCCGCGTCTGCTGCTGGAGGCCGTGGCCGACCTCGCGCGCCGCGCGGCGCGGGAGCGGGTCGCCGAGCGCTCCCGGGTGCAACCGCGGGGCTGCACGGGGTGGCGGCCGCCCTGGAAGCGGGGGCCGCCATGGGCTGGCGCCGCGTGCTGGCGGTCGAAGCGGCGCTCCTCGCGCTGCCCGTCGGCCTCCACATGGACCTCTACGGAGGTCCGCCCGCTGGACGGGCTCGTCGTCTCCCAGGACCACCTGCGGGCGGGCGTTGGGCGGCGACAAGTCCGCCCAGCCTCCGTGGACGGCCCCGTTGTCTTCCAGCACCCCCTGCGGGAGGGCGTTGGGCGGCGACGAGGCCGCCCAGTTCTCCAGGCGCTGTTCTGTCGTCGGACGGCTCTCTGAGGCTCATGAGGTCCTGAGCTCCTCACTCCTCCTCCTATACCACTTACTATCGTATGATTAGTTATACATATATATATATATATAGATATGTATGTATCCTTCTTCCCCTCTATTGCCTCCTTCCTCCCCCGCGTTGTCCCCTTCTCCCTTATGGTCCTCTTCCCTCCTCTCCTCTCCCCCCACCTCTTCAGCCTCCTCCTCCTCCGTGTCCTTGCCCGCCTCTCCATGCGCAGATTTCCCCACCGTCACCAGTTCTCCATCATCCCCAGATTCATGTTTCCCCTCCTCATTATCAAAATCTGCTCCATGCTCGGGGAGGGGGGCAAATAGGTTCCGCGTGCCAATGGGTAGCGTCAGCCCAGATCAGCGCTCGCAGCTCGCAGCGCATTGCCCCGGGCACTCGCCGCGCACACAAACACATCGGAGGTCCAACCCCAAGACACGGTTCTGTCGCCTCAGAGTGCGTGGGTCTCCCTTGCCCCTCGCGTCCTCCTCTCCTCTTAGTCCCCATCCTCCCCCTCCACTCTCCTTCCTCTCTCTCTCTCTCTTTCTCTTCTTCCTTCCTCCCCTACCTCCTCCATCTTCTCGCTCCCGCTCCTGATCCCTACCCCTTGATCATTGCATTATGGTAATCACTCTCTTCCTCCATCCCCTCCCGTTCATTCCCCCCCGCCCATCCCGTCTCGTATGCTCAATATTGTCCCATATCCCCCATATTCCCGTTCTCTTACAAAATTACATAGATGTGTATATATATACACATATGTGTACAATGTGTAACTATATATATATATATATGTTGTTCGTGTGCATGTATAGCGTACATGTCCCTCTCTCTTTCTATAGATACATGTTTTCCTTCGCGCGCATACGCAGTATCTGCCGTTCCCGTTCTATAGGGTTCCCATACGTTTGTCTCTCTCTCTCTCTCTCTCGTTACCTTTCCCTCGCGCTCTTAAGACGCGTGCTGTATGTTTTATCTATGTAGAATTATACGTATACGCGTGTCCAAATGTTTATGGGAGCTGCATCCCCCCCCACACACATACACACACTGCTGAACTTAATGTGGGCTTCTTCCAGAAAGATGGCGATGTTCGCGGCGTTTTTTTGGAGGGGGGCGGCGCGGGGTTCCTCACACCGATCCACAGATTTGTCTCCCTCTTCTTCTCGTGAGCAGCAACCCCTCAAAGGAACACCGCGCGACTCATGATCGACCGCGGTGTTTCGAACGGCCTCCCGGGAACGCATTTTCCCGCGAGCGGCAGCACAAAAAATACAACATACACGACAAGCGGCAGATTGGG